TTTTGGTTAGTCACTAGGAAAATGCTTCTAATGGAAAGGAAAGCATGGAAGTACATTGCCAGAAGAGCCTCCCCTGACTGAATATCTGTCAGGAGTGGTCAATGTCCATCCTGCTTGGTGACTAATGAGCTTCTAAAAGGAGCTCACAGTTGCATGACTCAGGAGTGAACTGGGAACAAGAAGATGCTGACAAAGTCCAACTCTGTTAGCACCTTTAAACTGGCTGCTAGTCATAAACACAGTACTATTACAAATAATTCTTGGTTTCCCAGTTGCTTTCCACATATCTCCACAGCCTTCCAGACTTAATTCAGGCTAATTCAGTCACAGTTGTCTGCTCAGTCGTCAAATCCTCTTACCTGGATGTGACAACTCAGTTTTGATCATCTCTGTTTTCCAAAGTGTCAGTGCTAAGGTCTATAGTAAGTCACCAAGGCATCATGTTACCAGCAGACCAGGAGTTTTAACCAAAACACTTTTCAACCTTGTGTCTTATAAAGTGGAGCATGATTTGGACTGAAGTTTCCACACTGAGACATTTCTAAAATCATCATCTAAATGTTGCAGAGTGCCAAAGCCTGAAATAACCAAGGACTCAGCAAGTGACCAGCAGTGACCTGATTCTGGCAGCCAGAGGTGTTGTTCTAGCAGAGGATGTTGCTTGACATTCAACCCAAATAAATACATCATCCTGGCAAACAAGAAGAAAAAGGATAGAAGCAGACAAGGTGGCCTTTCTCTGCAGACACTACAACAGACAGAGGAGAACTCCAGAGCTGTGACCACCGGCATGAAGGATTTTATTGGTGTTACCACATCAGCCATAGCAAATACAAAGCCATAAGGTTGGTCCCCAGGAGTAGGAAAACCCTGAAGCAGCAGCTTGGACTCTGCCTGCTTTTTCTTTGCCCTCATTTTATTTCTCACTCCAGGAGCACCATTGAAAGTAGGATTCATGATGCAGCAATCAGGCACACGAATTTCACTTCAGGGAGAAGGTAAGTGCTTAACACTAACAAAATGAGTCACAAAAAAAATACTGATTTCCTGCTCAGGCACCTCACTAAATTTCTTCACACCTAGACTTACTTTGACATCTAAGGGTGGCACGCCCTGCGCATGCCCAGGAATGCCACTAGCTCAGCTCAGTGCCCCTGAAGGGCCCATCTCCTCCAGTGGGCTCCTGTCACACTGACAGCACCGGCTTCAGCAAAGCCCAGCAGTCACAGCCACTCTCCATCAAACCAGTGCACACAACAGCCACCTTCTGCAACTTTGTCAGTGGAGCTCAGGAGGCAAGAGCTGTGCTTCCAAACGTCAGCTCAGCCTCGGGAGGACTTGATAATTTCCACACCCTGAAGGGACCAGAGAGCCCTGGTGGAGGAGTTGCTTTCTCCTCCTGGGAAAGCTCAGCTGCTGCACAGCCCTGCGCCTTTTGGGCTCAGAGCCCTGCTGTGAAGCTTCATCACCACATGGGTGGATTTGATTTTGAAGGCCCCAGTGAGGAAGGGCTGTGTCCTGACAACAGCCAGGATGGTCCATACTGCTGCTCTTCTTCCAGGAGCATCAGCAACAAAAGCTTGCCCATCCCAGCTACCCCATCGAGGGAAAGAAGACCACGAACAGTTCCTTGCTTCAGCCATCAGCCACACAAGGCAGACGCCTACTGGGTGCCTCAAGTGGGGCCAGGCCAGGGAGGCAGAAAAATTGCTGGCAGCATGGCATTTGGCTCCTGCAGCCTTCAAGCGGGGACTGGGAGAACTGGTGCGTGGTTCTGACTCCTGGCTGATGCACACAAGCACATAAGAGTTCACAGGGATCAGGATTTACACCCCTTCTGGCCTCAGTCCTGCATTCAGCAGCTCTTGGGGAGGAATAAAGCTGAGACAAAGCTTTTTAATGACAGTGAGTGGGACCTGTAAGTCACTCTTATAGACAGGTACAGCCTTTCCCATTGCAGCACTGTAGGAGGAAACAAGTGAAACCACATTCATGTTCCCTTGGACTTCAAAAAGAACCAAATTCTCCAATCTCTTTCGTGCAGTTACTGGCTGGAGGAGTCTTCATAGCAAGAGTCCAAAAGCATCATGAGAAAAGAGGAGCTACAGCTCCTACAGCCCTGTCATGCTCTCAGGACTGTGTCATGCTTTCACTGGCCCCCACTACAGTATTTTTATGGTTTTCTTGCTTTCCTTTCTGCTCTCTTTCATGCTCCCCTGAGTTTCAATCAAAGTTGCATTTCCCTGCTTCTCGTTCTCCCCAGCCTCTTGCATTCCTGGAATGAAAACAAGGACAGACGGAGCTGGCTGGCTGTAAAAAGCTGTTCTTACAATGAAAGCAGTGCTTTCCAATAAAACTTAAGCAGTCTGGCTGCACTGCCTGTGCTCTGCTTCCCTGCTTTAGGGCACATCTGCAGAGATACAGCAACCTCAGATGGGTGACATAAATAATATAGAATCATTCTTAATAATCAAGCAACATCAGCGTTGCCAAAAAAGTAGCCAATACACCCAATCCAACTACTGCACACTTATAAATATGTTGATCTCTGGAACCCCCCCTTCCCCCAGAGCTGGTGAATGAACCAATCCCAGGTTTGATTTTTCTCTTAGCTGAGTTGTTTATTGCCAAATTCTAAAACAAAACCAAACAAAACACATACACACAAAAAGGCACTTTCCAAATGTGATTTATGAAGTGCCTCTAAGTAAGCACATGCTTGGACACATGAAAACACCCAGGGCTGGGGTTCCAGCTGCACAGGAAAAGCAGCAGCAGGAACTCTCACTGCATAATAAACTACCTGAGGCCCTTTGCTTTCTCTGAGAAGGCTTGAGGACAGATCTTCAGGGAGAGGCATAACTGTATCACTTCATTAGCTTCCTTCAAGTTGTGAAATTATACCCTTTTTGTTTCATTTTGAAAAGCTTCTTTTATACACAGTCACACACACGTGAAAAGCAACTATCAGCCTTCGGTCAGTTCGCACTACAGCATCCCTGCATATCCAAATAGTTCAACAGCCCTAACTTTAAGCCTTTACCAGCATCTCTTCTATCAGCAAAAAGGAAGGCTCCTTAAATTTAATTTTAAAGGGCAAAAGAAAAGCACATTAATCTTCAATCCATCTCTGGTTAACAAGAATGCTGTGTACTCTATCCCAAAGCACTGTCCAGGACACACTCACAGCTATTTGCAGAGTTCTTGTATCACTCTTGTACACTCAATATGTAAGTGAGAAGCAAAACAGGGGTTTCAGCAAAGACAGAGGTCATTTGCTGTAACTTGTCTGCTCTGAGTGGTTAAATTCAGCAAAGCATTTTGAGCACTATGACAAGCTCCATGGTAATGCCTGATCCAACAAAGGTGGTGTGGTAGGGTGGCAGGGACCTGCAGCACCTGCTTAGCCCTGTACAGAGCTCAAAATTGCATCTCCAGAGGTCCGTGCTCTGTGCTTTACCCCGACTCCTTCTCTCCTCCCCAGGCCTGTGGAAGTTTAGATATTTTTAGCTATTTGCCATGAGTGAAGGAATGTCTTTTCCAAAGTTACCTCATTCATAAGGGCAGCTCCGCCAAGACAAACAGGTCCTAAGTGTGATTACACCAACTGCAGCCAGGGGAGAGAGCTCACACCACAGTAATGTGCAGGCTCGAATCCTAAGTACCTGGAATTATTAGTATTTATTGTGCATGAAATTACGTTCCTGACTTCCTCACCTGGCCACACAGATAGGAGAGGGAGGGAATTTCAGATCCTTCCTGCCCTTATGTGGCTGAGAACTTCTGAAAGCAAGTGAGCAGCCCTGAAAGCTCCAAGATAGATGAAGGATGGGATTCATCAGGGGTGCTTCCTGCGCTGGGGCCTTTTCGGGAATATATGCTAAAAAGAAAGCCAACAGCAACTCAATTTCTCACCTGGGAAATCTATTCTACCTCAGGCTTGTTTTGTTAATCACATACTCAACTCCGTATGCCTTTACCCTCATCTCATTAGGGCCATCCCATAAGCATACAGCAATTAACACCCTCTGGAGCAAAGGGACCAAGAACTCAGTGAATAACCCCTATGTAAAACTATTGTGCCTCAAACACCAACTAATTAACTCTCATAAACACCATCAATGTTGTAAAACCAGTATAGCATTTACCTTTCACGAGTGAGAAAGTCAAAACATGGAAGTTTGACATTGACTTGCCCAAGGCCACCAAAGCAAATCAGTGTCAGAGTAAACTAAAGCTGGCAAAGCTTCTTCCTTGCTCCACCCCACACTGCCTATGTGATCCCAGATCTGATGGATCATTTCATTTCATTAACATAAATTGTAATATAGGTGATGATGGATGTCATGGGTTAAGACTGGCCCCCCCGAGAGTCGGGGGCTCAGAGGTGGTTGGGTGCCAGGGCAGTGTTCCCTGGAGAGCCAATCACCACTCGTCTTGTTCGCTTCTGCTAAAAAAATCATATATACACAGACACTGGAAGCTGTTGGCAATATCTGCTGGTATCTGCTGCATGTAGAAGGCCAGGGGGTGGCTGGGTTCCTTCTTCCCCCCTCTGGGAGGGGGAAGGGAAGCCCTGCGGCCCCCCAGCTCTGCCTAGGCCAGAGTTAGAGACAGCATTGGAGTGAGTGTATGTTTGTGAGGGACGCGACTCACAAACAACTGGTAAGTGGGAGAGAGAGAGAGAGGCAGGCCTTGCAACCAGGCCCTCTTCTTCTTCCCCCCCCTCTTTGCAGCCAGGCTGCAGAAGGGGGCTGGTTTTCCCTCTCACTGTTTAGTGGGAGTGGTGCAAGGCTCAGCATTGAAGCAGAGCCAAGTGGACGGGCTGATAACGAAGCAGCTCACCGCTAGGGAGAAGAATCACAGGTGAAATTGGAGATGGGCCAGAGAGAGAGAGGCTCGGGAGTTGCCCTGCCGAGGTTTGACCAGGGGCAGCCGAAAACTGACTTGGAGGAATGAAGATTCCAACGCATATTGTGATAAGCTACACTACAGCAGGGGCCCCTGGTGGTCTAGTGGTTAGGGTGCAGCACTTTCACTGCTGCGACCCGGGTTCGATTCCCGGCCCCCCGGGCAGATGGAGCTCGTTAGCCCTGTAAGGCCATCCATCTAAGAGAAGGTCACTCTAAACAAACCTACGTTCTGAGACCCTCACTGCCACTGTCCAAGCTTGCTCGGCCCCGGCAGATGAACCTCAGGATTAAAGGGTGGGCTCAGTTCAGCGCACGCTGTGTCTCACCTAAAAAATCCACTGCGCAGGCTCGAAGGGTTAATGACCTTTCCCAAATCTTCGCTCGCGAAGACTGGCCATACACTACAGCAGCAGCGAACCGAGGTATGAAAGCGAAAGAGAGAACCATGCAACAGAGATGGCACAAAACGAAAAAGAAAGGACTCGGAGCTATCTTGGACTTTGTGAGGAGAAAGAACTGCAGCAAACAGCTGAAGGTTGGTAGGGAGTGCTCAGGGGCCCCGAACACTCACACGAGACAGAGACTGGTTACTTATCAGCCTGAAAAGGCTTTTCCTGGACTAATTGAGGAAGAAGCTTTGAAGGGACTGATAGAAGTGTAATATATATATATATAGTTGCTTTTAGTTTGTACAATATATTTATTTGTGTAAATAAATGTAAATACTTCCCCTTTTCCCTATAGAAGCCTCTGGCCTGAAAGTTTTCTCTTCAGTGTTGAGATAAATTGTGGGAAGGGGTGGGGGAAGCCTGGAAATTGGATTTTAGATTTCTAATGTGGCTCAAACTGCCACAATGGACAAAGAGACAATGACATCCATCCCCTCAAAGGGCATGAGTTTGTCCTGGTGTGTCTTCTGCACAGCATTTAGCATCCTCTCAGCAGCAACAAACTCAGGAAAAACAACAACAACAACAAAAAGAAAAAACCTTAATCCCTTCCCAGGGAGTTCTTGTCTACAAAATTCTCCTTATGAAAGACAGATGTGAACCTGCCAGTCCAGTCAGATGCAGAAAGCCCTGGTAAATGCAGGAATGAACATTCTCGCACACAGAACTGGCAAGGAATAACGGGGAGATTTGAATAATGAAAGAAGTAAATCATTTCAATATGACAGGCTGGATTTGAGAACCATTTCAGGCCACGGACATGGAAATCAAAGACCATCATCTCTGGCAATCCCAAAGGAAAACAAACCTTTCCTTTCTCCAGAAAGTAAAGTTAGAAGTGAAGGTGAAGCAAATTGAGAATGAGGAAGGGAATGATCCCTGTTCAGCAAGGCACATTGCAATAATCAAAGCACACACGTTACCAGAGACATAATTTAAAGCAGGGATCAAATTCTACAAAGCAAGACAAAAAAGAAAAGTAATAGTAAAAGAATTCCATGAACAACAGGAAACCTCAGCACTGACAGGGCCTTGCTGAGCACTACACAAACCACATAGCATAAGCTGCACCTGAGAGGACCTTTCGTATTGCACAAATATTCAATCCCCCTGCCAGACTGCGAGTGTGATTTTTCTTTGATTTTTGTTAGCTAAGATCAAAATCCAGCATCTAATGAAAGCTCTAAGTCTCTCTAACCAGCAGGAATAAGAAAGATGCCAGCTGAATTTCCTGGATTAAGAAAAAACAACAGGAAAGCTTGGGAGGTCTACGTCTTACCTTGGACTCCTGGCAGCAAAGTGTGACAGCACCACATCTGCTTCCCATATCTAGAAAATGCCCAAGCCCACTTTTAAGGTAATGTTAACAGCAGTTTCCCAAATTAAAAAATCATCATTGTTCAGAAATCCAGAGCACCCAGCTAAAACCAGCAAGGTAACAAACATCACCTCAGCCAAGCTCAGCCCATTGCTGGATGTCACAGCACAGACACACCGACCCTCCAGATCACTCACCCATGGAGGGGAAGCTTCCCACTCTCAAAAATGCACGTTCAGGTAGTGACTTGAAAAGCCTGAAAAATGTATTAGGATGGAGAACTCCAGGCCCCAAGCAATGCTCTCTTCATCCACCAAAGGTCTCATCCCTGCCTACCAGTTCTCCAAGGATAGGAGATGCTGGTTGTATTAATTCTCAGCCTCCACATCTTGTCTTTTTTTTTAACCATTTCGAAATCATATTTCAATTCTCCCCTCAAACATATTATTAACTCAATTACTTTCTTGTAAGCTTCTTTCATTAACTTGTTAAATTGTTCCCAAACTTTCTAATCAAAATAACAGCAATTAATTTAGAAAGCTTTAGAAAGGTGAATTAGGCCCATTCACACCTCTCCAACCTGCAAACCAACCAGCTTTGACTCTTACAATACCCCTGAGAAATCAGGATCACATTTTACGGAGGGATTCTGCGATTAAGAAAGCACAATATATATATAGCATTGTTTGCTCTTCTTGCACCACCTCAAAGCCATTGTGGGCTAACACGGCACTTCTACACTCGCCTCCTTTGCGTCAGCTTTCACATCTTGGTGCATAAAATTTCTTCAGTCTTCCAGTTGTTCTTCTCCCCAGAGAGATGCCAAACCCTCTTCTCAAGCTGCAGGAATGATCTCACAAGTTTCTAATCACAAGGGTTTCTGCTGAGGGTGACTGCAAGTGACAATTCGAACTATGCAAGTCCTGTTCCAATACAAGAGTGTAAAAATGCAGCCGCTGCTGCTTGGAACGTGGCCACTGCTCAGCAGAGCAGAAACACACGGCACAATTCTGGGAAAAGCAAGAGGGAGTCCTTTGTGCAGCATGTGAAAGGCTAGGTAAAGGTGGGGGATTTGCAGGCATAGAAGAGATGACAATTCCAGGACCAGGCTTCAACAGTACTGACTCCCGCAGTGACCCCCAGAGCTCTTCCTTAATGCCCTCTTCCTCCTTTAACCCTTCTGCATTCCACTGCTGAGGCAAAGAATTCAGGTGGTGACTTGCTGAAACATTAAAGACTCTAATACAGTGTAAAATTGCCCTTTTTCAGCCTTTCTTTTTTTTACAGTGAGGATGATAAAACACTGGCACAGTGAGGTGGTGGATGCCCCATCTCTGGAAACATTCAAGGTGAAATTAGATAGGGCTCTGAGCAGCCAGATTTAGTTGAAGATGTCCCTGCTCATTGCAGGGTAGTTGGACTAGATGACCTTTAAAGGTCCCTTCCAACCCATACCATTCTATGATTCTATGATAAAAACAATACTTGTCCTCCCTCTTCCTCCCCACATGCCTGAAAGTTGCCATAGCTAAGGAGAAAAACATAGGCAGCTTCAGATCATTTGTCTCCTTCCGTGGTTCTTGTTCACCCGCTATCAGTCTCCCATATATATCGCTGTGAAATCAAGTTATATATTTGAAAATATATATCAACTGTCTGACATTTGAAAATCTATTTACAGCACTTTTCTTCTCATTACCCTGTTTACTTTACAACCTTGATTTTATTGAAATGCCATTTTGGAATATTGATTTCACTCAAATTGCAAATAAAAATGGGCTTTCTTGAAGAAAATTAAATATATATTTCATAGGCAACAGACAGGAAAATCTCTCTGAGTCACTCTTGCATAGAGAAATAATTGGCCCATTTAAGAGGGTTGTGTAATGTTGTATAACTCAGGAGACTGAGGGCTAAATGGTGTGCTGGGGAGATTAGGAGTTTAAAACCTGCTCACAGTCCAGTATCATCAGACCCATTTAGGCAGTCTCTGTGTTTCCATTTTTCATGGTCCTGACGAGGAAAATCTCTGCAGCAAAACTTGGCATTTAACTCCTTCTGTTCTCTATATGCCACCATGCCACCAGCTCTGCAGCTCTCTCTGTAAAACTTTTAGTAAAAGGTGGGTGAGTGGGACTGGACCTTCTCCAGTGGACAGAGAAGGTACGTGACACCGGCTCATTTTGTACATAAACATTTTGCCAGTAACACTTGGTCCAGGAGATGTGTGAAAAATCACACAGGTGACAGGGCTAAGCAAACAGTAACTCATGCTGGGGCCAGGAACTCTATTTGCTGCTTAGTTTCTCCTGTTAAGCAATAGAGTTAAACTACATGAACAAGGAAAAAAAAAGAAAACTTCTTGGCAGAGACTAGCTATGTCTTTACTGGGAAAATGTATTAATAGAGTTTGGTTGATGGAGTTGCAAATCAAGTTAAATAAAGCAACCCTGTATTTGAGGAGGAAGAAAAAAGGTGTCATTACAAAGGATTGTTCTTTGCAGGGCTGTGAACAGCCACTAGATGTGGGTTCACCTTTCCACCAGAGGGAATCCCTAAAATCTGTGTTTGACAGATTTGAAGTGCCTTCCCACCCTAAACGGAGGCTTATTTTGGGTGCTAAACCCTGCATATCACTCTTTGCCCTACCACAGGGCGAAGTGCCCGTGTGTTCAAAGAAGGAGCTTTACAAGCCCTTATGGGGCTTCATATATGGAGCATTCCCATGCAGACTTTTGCTTAGGAAAAAAAAAATCCAAAACATCCATCAGAATTGTTCCAGAAAGAAACAGACCTTGAAAAGCTTAAGGCCAGAATTTCAGATTCAGGGAAGTCTTGTACATCTGAGAAAATGGGACAACTGGAAATATGGGAGCAACACAAACTTGCCACAAAGTGATCTCTGGAACTTGCTGCAAAGTTGATAGATCTGTATTCCCTCATGCTACTCCTGTGCTTAACAATGAAAATTAAATCAATAGTTGTAGTTAGCTGTGTCCTGAAAGAACAGCCACACCATGCAACAAGTTCCCCACAGTGTCAGGATTGAAATTGGGCCCTGTGAGGACCCAACCACTGCTCAGTCATGTCAGCACAGCTAAACCCACAGCTGCAGGGTCAGCTCCAAGGGGATGGGATGGCATGTGCTAAGACAGCATAGCCCTGAGAGACCTTATGGATTTACATCTGGCCCCCACAGCAGGTGGGCTGGAGCTAACAACTCCAGCCAAATCTCCAGCTCAATGTCTTATTAATGTAAATCCTTCCATAACGCTACTAACTCGTTGTGGCAGATGCCATTTACTGCTTACGAGAAAGGCAAAAGAAGCTTCTGGATAAGAGGGTCCCCTGGTTTCAAAACTCGGTGACAAGGAGCAATGTCCCACTTTTTTGAGA